ATGTGATCAAGAGCCGTGTTGGCTGTCTGACAGTTTTGCCACCAATGTGGCATATTCTATTGACCACAATTCCCTGCAGGTCAAGTCCCCTTGACCACTCCTTGACTGTCATCATGGTAATTGTGGTCTCCTGGCTTCTGGAAATAAAGTGCCATCGCCAAGCCTCTCTTACTTTGAGGCCTCATCCTCCCATGAGTGTTAATAAACCCTGTCTGTGGCTGCCTCACTTGCCCTCATCCCTGGCTGCAGTGGCCACCACCACTGGGCGATCCAGTGATGCTGGTGGTCCTCCCATCAGATTGTCCTTGATGAATAGTGTGCCATCTGGACCTCATGTAATGCATCCATTCCAGCCCGTCACCTCCCTGAACCTTTTTATTCCTTCCTCTACCAACTGCCAGGACACTCAGGCTTTTCTACTTGCTGAGAGTTGGCTGCCATTTTTTTCCCAGGTTTCTAGGAGCCAGAAGTAAGTTTGCCCCATCCCTTATGGTCCTTGTTAGGGTGTTAGTTAAATCCCATATCCTGAGAAAGTGCCTCCAAGTCAACAAAAGCTTGCTTATCCAGCTTTAAAGAACCCTTGGAATCCAATCTCAGGTGTATTGCTATGGCTCTGTGGGTACATGCAGGTTCATTTTTGTATTTCTTCCCTCCCTTATCAGGCCCACCATGTCACCAGCTAGGTTAAGTGGGGATTTAACCCATGACAGCAGGTAGGGGGCACATGTTCTCTCATGAGGGAGTGGCTTCTGTAGCATCCTCCAGCCCAGCAGAAGTGGTAGCTCTTACTAGAGACGGATGGGCAATGTCTGCATGCCCTGAGGGTGGGCATGGGGAGGCGTGGGTGCGGAGAGACAGCATATTCAGAGGCATCCATCCAGACGACCCTGTCCCAGTTTTCAGGATCCTGGGTTTGCCCTACCAGCACCTTGACCTCTGCGTAACAGATCTGCCTTGATTGAGGGTTCAAACATCTCTAGAGCCCTGGGATTGAAGGTGTTCAATCGTGTCTGTCCTTCTGCTACTGGTGATGATGATCTCTTTATATAAACTACCACTAAGGTATTGTGGTTCTCAGATTTAGCCTTCAACTGCTAGGGCTCTGTCTCTCACCAACCTTCTGCAGGTTGTCAAGTGATAAGCGTTGGCGAGGATGTGGAGAAAAGGGACCCCTTGTGCACTCTTGGCGGGAATGCAAATTTGTTCAGCCACTATGGAAAACAGTATGGAGGTTCCTCAAAAAATTAAAAATAAAACTGTCTTATGATCCAGCAATTCCATTCTGGGTCTATAGCCAAAGGAAATGAAAACAGGATTTTGAAGAAATACATGCATTCCCATGTTTATTGAAACATAATTTACAATAGCCAAGATATGGCAACAACTTAAGTGTCAAGGGATGAATGGATAAAGAAGATGTGGTACACACACACACACACACACACACACACTGGAATATTATTCAACCATGAGAAAGGAGATCCAGACAGAGAAAGACAAATACTGCATGATCTCACTTATATGTGGAATCCTAAGAAGCCAAACTCATAAAAACAGAGAGTAGAATGGGAGTTACCAGAGGCAGAGGGCTGGGAGAATGGGGCAGGTGCTAGTCGATAAAGAAGCCCGGAGAGCTATCGCACAGCATCTCCATTGTGGTCAACAATACCACGTTATAAACCTCACAGTTGCTGAGAGATTAGATCTTAATTGTTGCCATCACAAAAAAGTGAGATGATAATTATGTGACATGACTGAGGTGTTAACTAATGCCACAATGGTAATCATATTGCATCAAAATCAATAATCAAATGTATCAAATCAACACATTGTACATCTTAAACTTATACAATTATACAATGTTATATGTCAATTATATTTCAGTTTAAAAAATACATAATTTAGGGCGCCTGGGTGGCTCGGTCAATGAAGCAGCTCAGGTCATGATCCCAGGGTCCTGGGATGGAGCCGGGCATCGGGCTCCTTGCTCAGTGGGGAGTCTGCTTCTCCTTCTCCCTCTGCCCCTTGCCCCTGCTTGTGCATGTGCTCGTTCTCTCTCAAATATTAAAAAAACCCCACATAACTTAGCAGTAACCAGCAGACTTTGTTCTTTGTCAGCCCATGTTTTTCAAACACTTGCTCCATTCATTGCATCTGCTAGCACTGCCCTCCACCAGGACATTTCCCCAGGTCACTACCAATGAAAACTTTAGCAACTGAAACACTAGCTCAAGCCAGAAACTACTCGGGCCCCTCATACCCTCCAGGATGGTGCTGTCTCTGTTTGCTGAGTGCTGGATCAGTCTCAAATGCCCTCTGACCGCCTGTTTTCTCGGACCACTCGTGTCACCACTGCGTTACTCCAGGTCCTCTGAGAAATAGTCACCAATATGGGATTAAATATGCAGTGATGTTATTAGAGGAAGTACTCAAATGAAAGGAAATAGGAAGTTGTGGAAGGTTGGGAGAATCATCAGAGAGAGAGGGGGAGAGAGGAAAAAAAAATGGTGAGAGACAGAGATTGGATGGAGGTGTCCCACATGGCCATGCAATAGCCATGCAATAGCCATGCAATAGCCATGCAATATACAAAGGTTTGGAAAAGCCTTCAGGAGTCCTTGAGGTAGGCAGGCAGGAGTCCCAGTCTCCCCGGGATCTGGTCTGCTTAAGTAACCCCCCTGCACTCAGACACCGGAGGGGGGCAACGTGGGGGTGTGTGTGGCCTTGGTGCAAATGTGATGGTGGGTGTCAGAGCGCAGCTGCCTGTGCTCTGGGTCAACTGCACTGTTGAGGCAGGAGGTGTGCGAGGAGCACTCTCAAGGTTGCCACAAACCACTAATCTTCCTGCCACCCCACCTACATGGGAACCCCGGAACTCTGGCTTCCCTCCTGCAACAGTGAGGGAGATGTTCCATTCTTAGTTGCTTAGCTGTCTGGATCTTAGCCGTCTTGCCTACTCAAGGATTTTGAACCAAGAGGTACGCTCTTTCTCTCCTGGATCATCAATTCTCCCCAGCTACTGGATTATTCCTATCAGTATTTAATAACATCTTCCCAGCCTCCTCTCTGCCTCTGGTTGGCCTCCATTTCTTTGCTCCTTGTCACAGAAAGAAAGGAACTCCCTGAAAGAGTTGTCTCCACTTGTTGTCTGCACTTCTTCATTTCCCATTCTTTTGTCTACAATGAAAAGAGTTTTATTTTTTTATGAATAAAAATAGTATAAGTTCAGGGGCCTGGGTGGCTCAGTTGGTAAGTGTCTGCCTTCAGCTCAGGTCATGATCCCGGGGTCCTGGGATCGAGCCCCATGTGGGGCTCCCTGCCCAGCGGGGAGGAGAGTCTGCTTCTCCCTCTGCCTGCAGCTCCCCCTGCTTGTTCTCTCTCTCTCTCTCTCTCTCTCTCTCTCATGTTCTGTAATAAATAAAATCTTTCAAAAAATAGTTTAAGTTCAGTGTGGCGGGAAACAATAGCAAGAAAGCAAATATCACCTGGAATTACATCATGTTCCTTTAAAGATTTTATTTATTTATTTGACACAGAGGGAGAAAGAGTGAGAGAGCGAGCACAAGCACAGGGAGTGGCAGGCAGAGGGAGAGGGAGAAGCAGGCTTCCCGCTGGACACGGAGCCCCATGCGGGACCCTGGGATCACGACCTGAGCCGAAGGCAGATGCTTAATGACTGAGCCACCCAGGCGCCCCTGGAATTACATCATTTTAAGTTGGATGACTATGGACCTTTCGTTTGTCTTTGTGCAGACACCCGGTTCTACAATTAGGAGCAAGTTTCACATGCTGTTCCTCTTGTTTCCCTCTTCACAATTTTAAGGGTTCGGTTTATAACTTCCCCTCTGCATCTCTTGGTATATCCCCACTCCCCCTCCCACGGTGACACATGCGTTTGCATGCACACCATGTTAACAAAATGATATGTATCTTTCCATACGTTTCTTCATGCGCTCATACACAGAGCTTTTCTTTCGTTTATATGATAAGATCGTCCTGTAACTACTTCTCTGTAGCTTGGTCTTCTCATTTAACAAAACTGTGTGGAAAATCTTTTAAATCAACTAGTACAGATTGATCTGTGCAGTCAATGTACAATCATTTATTCAACAATTCACCTATTGAAAGGCACTTTTTTTTGGTAGAGTTTTGTCATGACAACCAATGATACAGCATATATATCTTCCCTGTCCCATCTCATCCCATAAATAGATTCCTAAGAGTGGAATTTCTGGGTCCAAGAGCATGTGTATTTTTAATAGATCTTACTGGATTGCTTTCCAAAAAAGCTGAAATAAGTCGCTTTTCCCTCTGAAGTGCAAGAGAATTTCCTTCCTGGGGCGCTCAGTTGTCTCAGTCGGTTGAGAATCTGACTCTTGGTTTGGGCTCAGGCCACGATCTTGGGGTAATGGGATCAGCCCCACATTGGGCTCCATGCTCAGCGCAGAGTCCACTTGGGATTCTTTCTCTCTCCCCTGCCCTCTGCCCCTCCCCCCACTCGCACTCTCTCTCAAATAAATAAATAAATGTTTTTAAAAAAGAGAATTTCCTTCCCATCCCTGACCCTCGTTACTTCCCAAGAGTATGACCCATCTGAGTTTGTGCCCTCAGGTGAGGAGGGCAAGCCTCACTGTAACTTTGGTTTGTATCTTTCTGACTGTTGGTGAGCTCCAGAATCCTCGGTGGATAAGCACCTGATTTGGAGCCAGTGTGCCTGAGTGTGAATTCCAACCCCATCTCTTATCACTGTGTGACCTTACAAAAATTATTGGCCCTTTTTGAACCAGTTTCCTCATCTCTATATTGGGACAATAATACTCCCACCTCACAGGGTTGTTGAAGAGGGTTAGGCAAATTATTAGAACAATTCCTGGCACATAGTAAACACTAAAAAATAGTTGATTTAAATATGTTTATTGGCTATTTGGGTATGGTCCTCTGTAAAATGACTATATTCTTTGCTCTCATTTCTATTGGGTAGTTTTGCTTTTTTTTTTTTATTAAATATTTTTATCAGATTTTGTCTTATCTCCCTCAATAAAGATTTTAATGATTTTTTCATGTATGTCTAAAACCTTTTATATTAAATTTAATTATATATAATTAGTCATTACAACGAATAGATTACTTTTTATTTTTTCTATTGCTGTTATAGAACATTATAGAGAATAGGTATTTTATTTATTATTTATTTGATAGAGAGAGAGCACACGAGCTGGGGGGAGGGGCAGAGGGAGAGGGAGAAGTAGACTTCCTGCTGATCAGGGAGTCCATTTGGCTTGATCCAGGATCCTGAGATCATGACCTGAGTGGAAAGCAGACACCTAGAAAAGGTATTAATTTTTAAATATTTATCTCATATTGAGCTATCAAGTTATCTTCATCTAGTAATTCTTGTTAGTAATTTTAAAATTTTCTAGTAATTTTAGGTTTCCTAGGCATATTATCCTATTATTGAAAAAGAGGATTTTTATCTCCTTTCCCCCAGTATTTACAATGGTCATTTCATTTTATTTTCCTCTTGTAATGTCAGAACCTTCAAAAGAGTAATGAATAGCAGGTATCCCTGTCTTGCTCTTGATTTCAGTAAAATAAGAAATTCTAATTATGGACAACGCTTTGATCTGTGCCCATGGAGTTCCATATTGCTCTTCTATTTTTTGTGATCTTCTGTTCTTGATGTTTGTGCTATAGATTTCAGACTTGTTTAGCTAGCCTCCGCAATCACATAAGCCGGTTCTTTTAAATAAATCTCTTTACACACACACACACACACACATATGCACACACACCTCTCACAAGTTCTGCTTCTCTAGTTGAACTCTGACTGTTACAAATACTAATTGTTTGAAAGCTGTGGTAACATTTAGATAAATTAAGAAGCTTATGTTGAACATGGAAATCATATTCTAAAACTTCAAAGTTTAGAGCATCAGCTTCTCATTTTCAATATAATAAGTTGTACGTTTCATGTGTGAATCTACCACTGGAAGAACTTCTGAAATACATTTAAGACAGATTTTTTTTAGGACACATTAAGCCTTTTATACATAAATTAACTACAGCTATATAAGATTTCATATGAAAAATTTCATGCAAAATAATATTTGAGGGGCGCCTGCGTGGCTCATTCGGTTAAGTGTCCAACTCTTGATTTCGGCTCAGGGCACGAACAGGTCGTGAGATTTAGCCCTGAGTTAGTCTCCACTCTCAGTTAGGCTCTGCACTCAGTGAGGAGTCTGCTTCCTCCCCGTCCTTCTCCCTTTGCCCCTCCCCCATGCTAAAAAAATATTTGACATATTTATACACTTTCAAAAATTTACTTTCATTCTTAAGAATGATACTAATAGGCAAATTTAGTTTTCTTTTATTTTAATTTTTAAAGAAGCCATATAAGAGTATATAGAGTACCTTAAGGTAAGGGCAAATATCTTAAAATTAATTTTATAACACACAATAGATATGAGAATATTTGTCTTGGGTAATTTAAGAACATTTTTAGAGCTTGAATTTGTTGATACATACTATGTGCTTATCCTTAGTATTTCTTGGTCACACACACACTTGTAAGTATATATATATACACTCTCTACATATATATATCTCAATACTAAAGAAACTTTCATTTTTCCTAATTATTCTTTTGTTTTCTATCATATCTGTTAATTGGTTCATAAAGATATTGTTTATAAATCCTCATATAATGGAAATAGCTCAAAACTAGAATACTGAAGAACAGTAGCATCAGGACAAATAGGAAGGCAGCAACCAGGTAGCCACTTGGACTGAAATAAGAAAAAAAAGTCATTAGAAGTCATCATTCACTTTCGTTGTTAATTTATTTAGTCAAACAATGTTTGAATGACTAATTCCTATGCCACTGACAGAAAAAAAGATTAATAAGGCATCTTATCTACCCTCAGGATGTTTGCCTCTTAGTGTTAGAGGTTGACTAGGGAAGAGAATAGACAGTGTGATCAATAGAATGAGAGAAAGAAATATAAAATTCATGGGGGCCAGACATACAAGAAGGCCTCCCAGTGGAGGGGACCTTTGAATTGAGTAGCGGAATTAGCTGGATAGGAGTGGGACTCGGAGCCTTAGAATGGGTTCGCCAGATAAAAATGCCTGGAAGTAGAGGAAGAAACAGGTGGGCATGGAGTTTTAGGCTAAGAGAGATGCCTATGCAAAGTTGTGGAGGCATGGGAAAACCTTAAGATCACCCCAGACATTCTGGAACTAAAACTAGTTCAGTATGATTAGAGCTCAGGTGGTAGGCAGAGTGGTAGCGATGAGGAATGATCAGTGGTTAGAGGTGAGAGAGACAGCTTTTATTAAGTTCCAGGGTGTGGGTTTTGGAAGGATGATTCTGATTGTAGGGTGAAGAATGGATGAATGGGAAATATGAGTGTGGAGGAAGAAACCCTAGTTTTGAGGTTTTTTAATAATGCAAGTATGATGAGGGTCTTAATTAAATTAGTGGCTGAGTAAGTGGAGAGAAGCAGATCTAAGACAGATTTGGAAGTTAGACTGGATTGATCTTGGTGATTGTTGAGATGTGGGGTTTGAGGGTAAAGGATGTCATCCAAGTTTTGGAATGAGGTGACTATGAGGATGCTATCACCATTCACTGATAGAGGAAATTCAGAGGGAAGAGCACTTTAGTGAGGGCATGTAAATACAGTTCGTTTACTTTTGGGCATATTGAATTGGAGGTACTGGAGGGTCAACCAGGTGTGTGTGTGTGCACGTGCACATGTGTGTGTGTGTGCACATGTGTGTACACCACTTATTAGATCCTACTTTTAGCTGGGTGCCAGACATCTGCCCTTTCACCTGGGACTCTGCATGAGTGCCTCCCACCAGAGCAGATTTACTGCTTGAGCCAAATGCTGTGCTACTTTCTGTTTGGTGTCCTGGTATCTCACTTTAGTTTTTGGTTCCTTTTTAGGCCATAATTATTTATTTGCAGTGTTACGGTTTCCCCAGGTCCTAGTCCTCTTACTCTGACCTTCCTCCTATGTGGATACAAGCTTAATCTGGCTCCAGTGAATGGTTTCCTTCTTGGAAGTTAATTAACTAACTTGACAAATCATCTGATATGAGCCAGGTATTGTGGTAGTGCCTGGAAAAACAATGATAAGTAATAACAGACATGGTCCCCATCTCCTTAGAGAATTTACATTTTAGTGGAGACATAATTGTTAATCAATGATGAGAAAAGAAATCTAAAATTGCACTTGCGATAAGAACTAAGTAGGAGAGATATACAATGCAATGAAAGTTTACTATAGCAGGATTTAGCCTGGTGATAGGGTCAAGATATGCCTCCATGAGGGGAAAAGATAATTATCCTAAAATTTGAAGAATTAAATGGAAATGAAGTTGGTGAAGTTAAGTAGATAAAGAGGGGAAGGAGGGCGCCTGGGTGGCTCAGTTGGTTAAGCGTCTGCCTTTGGGTCAGGTCATGATCCCAGGGTCCTGGGATCGAGTCCCTCTCCCTCTGTCTGCTCTTTCCCCTGCTTGTGCTCTTTCTTAGTCTCTCTCTGTCAAATAAATAAGTAAAATCTTAAAAAAAAAAAAAAAAGAGGGGAAGGAAGACTTGCCAGATAGAAGAAATAGAATGTGCAAAGGTCCTGCTATGGGACAGAGTATGGAGAAGGTTGGGGACTGAAAGGTTGGTGGGTCTAGAGCAGAGATGATGAGGGGAACATAATGCAAGACAAGATTAGAGAAGTAGGTGGCGGCCTGATCATGGAAGGTCTTGTAGGCCATGTTGAGGAGTTATCATTCTGAGGAAAGAAACTTAAAGCTTTCAAGTTATAAAATTAGCATTTGAGAAGATCACTTTGGCTCCAGTGAAGAAAATGAACCAGAAGAAAATAGAAATGAATGAGGAGAGATCTGTCAGATGTCTATTGTGGTAGTTCCCATCTGAGACAATGGTAGCTTGGATTGGAGTGCTGGTGGTGGGGTTGGTAAGAAGTGGATCCATTCAAGGGCAATTCAGGAGTTTAAATGAATGGGAGCCAGTGACTATCTGGATGAGCTGGGGGAAACAGAGAAATGAACACAACCCTAGGTTTTTTGTTTTTTTGGGGGGGTTTTCTTGTTTTCATTTTTGACTCATAGGTATTTGGCTTGTACAGTTCAGTGTGCTCTTTCCTGAGAGAAGGAACTCTGGAAAACAGGGTTGCCACACTGTTCATCTCCAGAAGGCACTGTTCATATTATAACCCCCGTGAATGGATTCTCTTGGAGCTGTGCAATGACACCTGTATACAATTACCCTGGTGGATCCTTCTTAGAGTGGGACAAATAATGGGTCAAGGAAGTGGGTGATAAGATCACGAGATCATTTTGGGGCATGTCCAGTTTGACCAGTTTTTTGAGAAAAGAGGTTAATAGATGGTGGGATGTATAGCTCTGGATGGGCCAGAGATATGATTTGGAAGTCATGTGTATATAGATGCTTACTGAAGCCATGAGTATGGATGAGCTTGCCAAAGTGAGAAGCTCACAAGACCAGGGCTGAGCCCTGAGGGAAATCAACATTTACTGGCTTGTAAAGGAGGTCAGGGCTCTCTACTTTGAGAAAGAGTGGCTATAGAAGTTTAGGAAAACCCGTAAAGCAATACGGTGGTCAAAGGGAAAGTCAACACTGATGAAACATAAAATGAGATGAGGACTGGCAAATATCTATCAGGTTCGGTGTAGGCCAGTTCCAGTTTAAGATGGTGACATAGGAGGCTTCTGAACTCACCTCCTTCCATAGTCACACTCATGCCACAGCTACCTAAGGAACAGTTCCTTCCAAAAAAATCCAGACACTAGCTGAGCAACATCTACACTTTGGGTGAATGAGAAAAAATCTACCCACATCAAAATGGGTAGAAGAGACTGGGACACAGGCTTACCATAAACCCCACACCCAGTGCAGCAACATACAACCAGGAGGGCACTCTTGACTTCCAGCTTCTCCCTGGAGTAAAGAGTTTGGACCCAATGTCAAGTCCCAACTTATGAAAGTTCCACCTGAGGGACAGGTCCCCAAACACTTAGCTCTGAAAGCCACCTGGACTTGTGTCTATGAGACCCATGGATGAGACCCACGGGGTGATAGCAAACAAAGGGGTCCCGAGGACTTGCAGTGACTAAGCACCCCCACCCCCCACCCCCCAGTACAGAGACAGCAGACTCAAATGCCCATCTCCCAGCCTTTCCATGAAAGAGGCCCATTTGCTTATCTTAAAAGCTGCAACCTAAGGTTTAGGCTCCCGATTTAACACAAATCATGGGCCTGACTGCAATCCTCTCCAGAGACTCTGGGGAGCGTGGCCAGTGCCATCTTAAATTCTCCCTCTGCTTCTCCCTAGGTCACTGGTATCTCTCTGAAAGAAGCTTGTGCACATGTCTTGTGCCCCAGCTGCTATGGCTGTTGTCCAGGGGACACACCTTTTATAGTCTGGCTCTGGTGGCCCACAGAGCTTACTACATTCACTAGTAGTACAGGACTGTAACAAACAAACTCAGTTTAACTGGCTATTAACCCAGGACTTGGTGCAGACGAAGTAGACAGAAACACCCATCTCCTAGTCTTTCACCGAAAGAGGTCTATTTGCATACTTTAAAAAACCTGCTGCCTGAGGGTCCAGCTTCCAATCAGCCTGCATCTAGGTGCTGATTGAGATCCTCTTCTTTGGGACACCAAGGTCCTGGGAACTAAGAAGGCATCTTGGACAATCAAAGGTTTGAGAGACCACAAACAGCTAGGGCCAGGCTGAAGAATAAGGTTCATCTCTGATCTGAGGCCAGTCCTTCAAGACTGGGAAAGGTAGCTGTTTTATCTAATTCAGAAACCAATGCAGAGGGGTAATTGGTGGAGTAATAAGACAGAAAACAGATTGGGTGGGTTAGAGAAACAGGGATAGAATATAGAGAAAAGGAGACTATGTAGACAAGCCTTTTGAGAAGTTTGTCTCACAAAGTTGGGGGGAGAGAATGGCAGCTGGAGGGGGATAGGAGGTTGGGGTTTTATATATATTTAAATTAAAAACTTGGGGGGTGATTAAAAGCCTATAGGGAGGATCTAGTTGAGGGAGAAAGTTGAATATATAAAAGAGAGAAGAAATAATTCATTTGGAAGTTTCCTTAGAAAGTGGAAAGAGGGTTCAAAGCACCTGTGGAAGAATTATATTTAAGGAGGAGGAATAAAATGTCTTTAATTGTAACAGGATGGAAAAAGGAGAGAATGAACATAGGTGTTGGTAGGTGTGTTTGGAATCAGGAATCAGGAGCGTTCCTTCCTGCGGGCTTCTAAGTTCTTTGTAATGGTGGAAACAAGCTCATCTGATGTTCATTAAGGAAAGATGGTCCAAGGAGGAAGCTGATTTGATAAGGTCTGAAGTAGTTACGGAGAGTGAAGATATTGGTTGACCAGAGAAAGATACTAAGATTCTCAGAGAGTGCTGGTGACCTGTATGAAGTTGGTGATTAATCTGCCGTTTGTGTAACTTTCTTTACCAATCCTTGGCTGCTCAGGTGTAATCAAAAAGTAGGTAGTTGGGGGCTTGCCAGATTGGGGGGGGGGCGCAAATCCCAGAGGGGTAGGGAGTACTAGCAAGTGTTATTGAAGTAGTACACTTTGAAATGTAAGGAAAAAAGGGTGTGTGTTTAAAAAAGGGTTTTTTTTGTTTTGTTTTAGAAGACCCAGGATAAATAATGGCCTGGAAGTGGTAATGGCACTCTGAGGCACCTGGGGGTCATTGGAAAGTAAATAGCCATCACTCTAGAAGGCTGAAGGTGAAGCAGTGTCCTTGGGGGATGGAGGGACATAGAGCGGGAGCTCAGAGGACGATTGAGGATTTAAGTGAGTTTGCTGGTTAATAGGTAACAACTCCAAAGGACACACTGGAAAATATGGGAAAGTGGGTGAGTACTCCAGAAGGAAGCACCAAGATCTTGGCCTCCTATAGCCTGATCTTCAGCCGATGTTTACTCATGAAAAGGGCTTTCTCACTAGGAAAATGGTTACCACCAGCTAACCCCCACTCTGCCTCTGCACCCACTTTGGGGGCTCAGGTGTAACAGAGACTAAGCTGCAGTCACTAACCTAGGGACAACCCCTAAGCTGCACCATATCCCCTGGCTGCTGGAATCCAGCTCCTGGGAGGTGAGCTGGGGCAAATAGGTGAAATCCTCCTTCACTGTCGTCTCTCCTCTCTAATTCACCAATGCCCCCTTCTGACAGTGTGCACGTATGTTCTTAATATTCATCTAAACCAAACATGGCAATCTAAAAGTCACTGCCAAAGGCCATAGATGTTTCCCAAAGTCACTTAGAAATAACGCATGGCTTATCTCATTTGTAGGTTATTCACACTGTTAATCTTCCATTGGCACAAAACATCAAGGAGTCAGTGATATTTAAAGTGGGCCATGAGTAACTTCATTGTTTGTCTTCCATTTTTGTTTAACATTTTACAAAAGAGCAAAAACAAAAAACCAGGCCCAGGACAAAGAAGCAAAGTCATTTGCGATCCCAGTGTTAGCATTAAGACTTTGCTCTCCAAGGAGACTGGAGTCCAGGAACTTGCCTTTCCTACCTGTCTCTGGATGAATCAGAATGATGGCCAGTGGTTGAGGGCGGACTCAAGCAGCCACTGTCTCCTCCCAGGCCCCCTGCGGCAGCCTAGGCTCTGCCCTTCAGGTGGGGTTCAAAGACGTGTTTGATGGGAAGACAGTGGCCGCTGAGGGGATGAGACAAAATGGGACCCCAGCTGCAGCAACAATTCTCAGAAATTCCTTCCCGCTGTATCCCTGGGATAACTGATACATACAATTTGAGGATGTCACATATAGGGCAGAAGTAGTAGGGTCCCAGCGAAATGGGGGAGAGGTGCTTTTCCTGTTTTGGCTGACACCCCTGTCTTTTACGACTCCCCTCCCTAAAGCCTAATTAGGCAACAGGCATTACCTGGGAATCATTCCAAAGGTCTCTATTGCAAATATAGCTGTTAGGTTACAGAAACTGCAAATGAGACAAATAATATTAACGATTAAATTAAGTGCAATATATTAAAAGCCTCCCTCCAAATCTTTATGGTAATGATCAAATCATAGATAATCTTAATGAAGGTGTCACTTTCTCAATAATGGAGAGAAGAGATGCATTTACATCACAGCTGTGGTGATTCTTCCATACGTGTGACTTGGGCTGCTTGCAGCACGATTTCTCCGAGCTTGTCAGTGCAACCTCACTGCCCTCCTAACATCTTGATGTCGTTTTTGATAGTGGGTCCCAAGGCAACAGCAAGAATAATGTTAATAATAATAATCATGTTTTACTGAGCACGTAGTACTTGTTGAAAGTGAATACTAACTGAGCATTGGCTGCGTACCAGACAGTGTATCTAATGTCCTACATGAATTATCTGCCTAATCCTCATAGCAACACTTTCTTTTGGATGAAGAAACAGAGGCTCAGGTAGGTTAAGCTACTTGCAAAAGTTTGCAGTTGTCTGTAGCAGAGCTGGGATTTGAATTCAGGTTTTTCTGATCGAAGAGCCTGTGACGTACACTTGATGTAGGCTGGCTCAGGAAGCTAAGAATCTTCAGAACTTGACATAGGGCACTATGTTATTATTTCTAAAGTTACTGAGTATCTCTTGTGATTTATCAGATTGCTTGGAATGAGACAAGACAGAGCTAAATAAACATTAATGATAGCATTTCACCTATCTTCATTTGGGAGAAAAGAGATGAAAGGAACTTAACTTGATTGAACAAAATTAGGGATTTTTACCCAGGTACTGTCATTTAATCCTCAGAATACTATAAGATAGGTGTTATAGACTCATTTTACAAACAAAGAAATAAGCTCAGAGACTAAGCAATTCGCTTAAGATGACATATCTACCAGTGGCAAAAGTAGGATTCAAACCAAAGTAGACTCTAGAATAATGTTTTCAAGGTCCATCCATGTTGTAGCAAATGGCAAGATTTCCTTCTTTTTTATGGCTGAATAATATTCCATTATATATAGATATATATCTTTATCTATCTATCTCTATCTATCTATCTATCTATCTATCTATCTATCTATCTATCTATCTATCTTCTATCATATCTTCTTTACCCATTCATTCATTGATGGACACATGCATTGTTTCCATGTCTTGGCTACTGTAAATAATGCTGCAATGAGCATGAGGGTGCATCTTTTCAGATTAGGGTTTTCATTTTCTTTGGAAAAATACTTAGGGGAGGAATTGTTGGATCATATGGTAGTCTGTTTTTAGCTTTTTGAGGAAACTCCATAGTGTTTTCCATAGTGGCTGTCCTAATTTTCATTCCCACCAAGAATGCACAGGATCCCCTTTTTTCCACATCCTTGCCAACACTTGTCATCTCCTGTCTTTTTGAGACTAGCCATTCTAACAGGTGTGAGGTGATATCTCGCTGAGCTTTTGATTCGCATTTCCCTGATTATTAGTGATGTTGAGTACCATTTCATATACCTGTAGGCCATCTGTATGTCATGAAAAAATATCTATTCAGATCTTCAGTCTATTTTTTAATTGGATTGTTTGTTTCTGTATTGCATTGTATGAATTCTTTGTATATTTTGTATATTAACCCCCTATTGGATGTGTGATTTCCACAGGTTGACTTTTCATTTTGTTGATGGTGTCCTTTGCTGTGCAGAAGGTTTTTAGTGAGATGTAGTCCCACTTGTTTATTTTCACTCTTGCTGCCTTTGCTTTTGGTGTCAAGTCCAAAAAATCATGGCCAAAACTGAAATCAAGGAGCTTACTATCTATGTTTTCTTCCAGGAGCTTTATGGCATAGGGTCTTACATTTAAGTCTTTAATCCATTTTGAGTTAATTTTTGTGTGTGGTCTAGTTTCATTTTTTTGCATGTGGCTGTCCAGTTTTCCCAACACCACTTATTCAAGAGATGGTCCTTACCCCACCATATATTCTTGGCTCCTTTGTAATAAATTAATTGACTACCTATGCCTGGGTTTATTTTTGTCCTCTCTATTCTGTTCCATTGATGTATGTATCTGTTTTTAAATGCTGGTATCATACTGTTTTGATTACTATAGCTTTGTAGTATAATTTGAAATCAGGGAGTGTGATGCCTCTCGTTTTGTTCTTCTTTCTCAAGATGGCTTTGGCTATTTGTTTTTTTTTCTTTTCTTTTTTTTTTTTTTTGTCATTCCATACAAATTTTAGGATTGTTCTAGTTCTGTGAAGAGTGCCATTGGAATTTTGATAGAGATTACATTAAATCTGTAGATTGCTTTGGGTAGTATGGACATTTTAACAATATTTGTTCTTCCAAACCATGAGCATGGAATACCTTTCCATTCATTGGTATCTTCTATAATTTCTTTCATCATTGTCTTATAATTTTCAGGGTCTAGGTCTTTCACTTCTTGGTTAAATTTATTCTTTTTGATGCATGGGTAAATGAGATTGGCTTCTTAATTTCTTTGCCTGATAGTTCCTTATTAGAATATAGAAACACAACTGATTTTTATATATTGATTTTGTATCCTGCAACAATTACTGAATTTGTTTATTAGTTCTAACAGTTTTATGGTGGAGTCTTTAGGGTTTTCCAAATATAATACCATGTCATCTGCAAATAGTGAAAATTTTGCTTCTTCCTTTCTGATTCGTATGCCTTTTGTTTCTTTTTCTTGCTTAATTGCTCTGGATAGGACTTCCAACTCTATATGGGAATAAAAATAAAAGCGGGCATCTTTGTTTCTCGATCTTAGAGGAAAGGCTTTCAGCTTTTCACCACTGAGTATGATGTTAGCTGTGGGCTTGTCCTATATGGCCTTTATTATGTTGAGGTATGTTCCCTCTACACCCACTTTGTTGAGAATTTTTATAATAAATCAATGTTGAATTTTGTCAAATGCTTTTCTGCATCTACTGAGATGATCATATGATTTTATCCTTCATTTTGTTAATGTGGCATATCACACTGATTAATTTGCAGATGTCAAATCATCCTTGCATCCCTGGAATAAATCCCACTTGATCATATTATATGATCCTTTTTAATGTATTGTTGAATTCAGTTTGCTAATATTTCATTGAGGATTTTTGTATCTATATTCATCAAGGATATTGACCTGTAATTTTCTTTTCTTGTGTTATCCTTGTCCGGCTTTGGTATTAGTAATGTTGGCCTCATAGAATTAGTTTATAAATATTCCTTCCTCTTACATTTTTCGGGAGAGTTTGAGAAGGATAGATATTATTCTTTAAATGTTTGGTAGGATTTACCAATGAAGCCATCTGGTCTTGGATTTTTGTTAGTTGAGATGTTTTTTTCTTACTGATTCACTCTCCTTACTAGTTATCAGTCTGATCCGATTTTCCATTTTTTCATGATTCAGTCTTGGCGGGTTTTATGTTTCTAAGAATTTACCCTTTTTTTTTAGGTTGTTTAATTTGTTGGTGTATAATTATTCATAGTAGTCTCTTATGATCCTACATATTCCTTTGGTATCAGTTGTAACTTCTCTTTCATTTCTGATTTTATTTGAATACTCTCTCTTTTTTTCTTATTGAGGTTAGCTAAAATTTTGTCTATTTTATTTATCTTTTTAAAAACCAACTCTTAATTTTCTTGATCTTTCCTATTGTCTTTTTAGTCTCTATTTGATTTATTTCCTCTCTGATCTTTGTTATTTCCTTCCTTTTACTAACTCTGGGCTTTGTTCTTTTTCTAGTTCTATGAGGTGTAAAGTTGAGTTGTTTATTTGAGATTTTTCTTCTTTCTTGAGGTAGAGGATTTCCTTCTTTTTTTTTATGGCTGAATAATGCTTCATTGTATACTTATATATACCACATTCTCTTTATCACTCACTCATTAATGGACACTTAGGTTGCTTCCATGTCTTGGCTATTGTAAATAATGCTATGATCAACATGAGGGTACACATATTTTTTTGAGTTATTGTTTCGTGAAACTCTTCTAGTAGTGGTGACCCCAGACTCTATGGCATTTTTATTTTTCCTACTAGCTATGGTCTTCCCTCATGCCTTATGTGATGTTGCCATGTTTTAGTGTAATTCATTTATTGGACATTGTAAAGTAGAAATTGTATTCAAGCTCATCATTATCCCTTTAAACAAATGCTAAAACGATTATAATAAAACATTTATATTCACCTATAGTTTGGATCCAGGATCTTCACACGAAACACATACATTCCAGAATGGTCCTCAGGCCAAGTTAAATGGTTATAGTTAGACTTGTTGATTATCTCATATGGTTGATTTAAATCTCCTGGTTTTCCAATAGCATAAGAGAAACAGTGCTTATAGTTCTGAATAGGAAACAAAGACAAAAACCTTAAGGTCCTTCTCTAGGGGAAGAGGTGTTGGAGATTGTAGAGGAGAGGAGAAAGTTTGCAGTAGCTAGAGAGGAAAAGGGAATGAACTGGAGAAATAGACTTATGTTTGTTGGGCAGTATTACAGGACTGTTTTAATCATGAAATTAAGGTGAAATAAATCAGCATGGGTATGTATTCCTTTGACCACAGTCAGCTGTCAAGGCAGATAGCTGGGATTTAACTAGGGTTGTGATTTAGCTACACAAGTCTGAAAAAGTGAGAGGGAGGAAGGAATTGAAGGTACACATTAATTGAGTGTTATAATTATTGACCATGGAATTTAAGCAGCATAAAGAGCAAGAAGAGAACCTAGGGGCAGGGTGAGGGTGGTTAGGTCATTTTGAGGTTGAAGGATTGTTAGAGTAAAGGTTCTAGGGTTATGTTGCTGGAAGAATAGGACATTGTGGCTGGAAAGTGGGATGTTTTGAGATGGGACTACAGAGGATAATACAATTATTTGTATATATCTCTGTCTTTTTTTTTTTTTTTTAAAGATTTTATTTATTTGACAGAGAGAGACAGCAAGAGAGGGAACACAGGCAGGGGGAGTGGGAGAGGGAGAAGCAGGCTTCCCGCGGAGCAGGGAGCCCGATGCGGGGCTTGATCCCAGGACCCTGGGATCATGACCTGAGCCGAAGGCAGACGCTTAACAACTGAGCCACCCAGGCGCCCCTTGTATATATCTCTGTCTTGACATGCACAGATTCTGATGTAGAAGCAAAGTAACAATCCTATTGTAGGGGTTAGATTTTATGGGCTCAGGTACCATATAGGTCACTTTTATTTATGAGATATGATTTTATTCTCCATAACAGAAATTAATTTCAATTCAAGAAAGGTTGATTGAAAAAATTGAAAGCAGTATAGGATTGATAGTTGGCATTCAGAAATGATCTTTCAGTTGTTTTTTCTTTTTTTAAGATTTTATTTATTTGAGATAGAGCAAGAGCGAGAGAGAGAGAGAGAGAGAGAGAGAGCATGAGCCAGGGGGCGGGGCAGAGGGAGAGGGAGAAGCTGACTCTCCACCGAGCAGGAAGCCCGATGCAGGGCTCCATCCCAGGACCCTGGGATCATGACCTGAGCCGAAGGCAGACGCTTAACCTACTGAGCCACCCAGGCGCCCCATGATCTTTCAGTTGTACAAGAATTGAAAGTTCAGGTGTTCTTTAGAAAGACTCATTCTCAGGGTGCCTGGGTGGCTTAGTCAGTTGGGTGTCTGCCTTTGGCCTTTGGTCCTGGGTATGAGCCCCCCCGTAGGGCTCCCTGCTCAGTGGGGAGCCTGCTTCTCCCTCTCTCTCTGCCATTCCCCCTGCCTGTGCTTGCTCTCTGTCAAATAAATAAATAAAATCTTAAAAAAAAAAACCCAAAAAACTCACTCTCAATACTTCAACATGTTTGTCAGATATTTAATATATCTACAGATTTTCAGCAGAAAAAATTAAAACAAAATTGTTAGTAACACAGGAACAATGGAAGATCAAATAGAAATTAAGGTGATGCATTTCTGAAATCACAATATTAATCCAATAGAAAAGTTGATTTGATTTGCAAAAACAAATTTAAATCCAAAATGTTTTCATCAAACTTTTGTTAATACTGAAATGCCAAATTAGTTATTATAAATAAAATCTGGTAGGTAATATTTTCCTTACTTCAGGTCCCCAGGCTTCTTCTAGTGGGAGGTGCTGGTTAAGCTTAGTCATTGACTTCCACGTCTGGGCTTCATTTAAACAACCACTCTGTCAAAAAATTGTACATATAGGAATTTAAGAAACAAGTGAGCAAAGGGGAAAAGAAAAAGAGAGACAAGCCTGGAAACAGACTCTTAACTATAGAGGACAAACTGATGGTTGCCAGAATGGAGGTGGGTGGGGTGGATGGGTTAGGTAGATGATGGGGATTAAGGAGGGCACTTATGATGAGCACCAGGGGATGTATGGAAGTGTTGAATCACTGTATCGTACACCTGAGACTAATATTACACTGTATGTTAACTAACGAGTTAAAATAAAAATGTAATAAAAATTGTACACACATGTTTGTATATAAATTTATTCATAAGTATTTAATATATTTAATACCATTGAAAAATATATATTTAATTCTTTTCATTATTTAAATGTTTGCTGATACACGGGGGAACAATTGACCTTTGTATATTAACCTTGTATGAAAAAAACTTCTTAAACTCACTTACTAATTTTAAGTGTTTCACATGAAGTCATGTTACTTGTGAATATGACAGTCTAATTGCTTCCTTTCCAATCCTTATACTTTTTTAAAGATTTTATTTATTTATTTGACAGAGAGAGAGAGACACAGCGAGAGAGGGAACACAAGCAGGGGGAGTGGGAGAGGGAGAAGCAGGCTTCCCACCAAGCAGGGAGCCTGATGTATGGCTCAATCCCAGGACCCTGGGATCATGACCTGAGCAGAAGGCAGACGCTTAACGACTGAGCCACCCAGGTGCCCCAATCCTTATACTTTTAATTTATTTTTATTTTTTATTGTTTGCCTTATTACAGAGATCAGAAACAATGTTGTATAGAAATGGTGATAACTGACACCCTTGTTTTACTCCTGACTTCAGAGAGAAAGCTTCCAAATTTTCACCACTAAGTAAGATGTTTTCTAAGGTTTTTGTTTTTGTTCTTGTTTGGTTTTTTGTACTTACATTTTATTAGGTTAAGGAAGTTACGATATACTTATTTTGGGGGTTAGTCTTTTTTTTTTTTTTTAAGTAGGCTTCACACCCAATGTGGGGCTTAAACTCATGACCCTGAGAATTCCAAGATTTATTTTATTTTATTTTATTTATTTTAAAGATTTTTATTTATTTGTCAGAGAGAAAGAGAGCTTGAGTGAGCACAAGCAGGGGGAGTGGCAGGCAGAGGGAGAAACGGGCTCCCCGCTGAGCAAGGAGCCTGGTGCAATGCGGGGCTGGATCCCAGGACCCTGGGAATGTGACCCAAGCCGAAGGCAGACACTTAACTGACTGAGCCACACAGGTGTCCCTCCAAGATTTATTTTAAAAATAATGTTATGCATGAATAATTTTTTAATTGAATGACTTCAACTATTATAATAATCCATGCCTATTCTTTATTCTGTTACTATACTGGATTTCTTTGATTTTCAAATGATATTCCCACTCTCTATTTATGAAATAAACAAAACTTGTTTGGATATGTGATTTTTAAATATACCGCTGAGTTTGATTTGTTAGCATTTTGGTTAGGTGCTTTGTATTTGTGGTCATGGGTGAGATTGGCTCATAATTCCTTTTTCTTTTAAGGTCCTCCTCAGGTCCTCCAGGGTATTAAGGATACTTACTGCTACTGATTATTTATGTTTCTAGGGATTTTAATGGACAGTGTAGGAAAAATTTATCTCTCTCTCTCTGAACAATATATTTATATACTTATATCCAGATCACATGAGTTTCCAATACCTCATGAGTTTACACTGAATCTTATTCAAATTCAGGATGTTTTGTCTAACTTCTTCTATATTACGTATGTATCTCCTTGCTTTTATGCCAAAAACACTTGGTGAAGAATTAGAATATCTCACTTTACACACTTCACAAGATCAGAATAACTAATACAAGTATTACCACCACTATCGTGATTACTGAAAAGTTATATTTTTCCCCTGGTGTATGCTCTCATATTCTCCTAGCATATTTTATAGTTGTATTGTATCTATATTGTCAGAGAATACATCCATTGTATACTATCCTCTTTCCCCTTTAACCCTCACTTTGCTTCAGTTTTGCAAGTAACTCTATACTACATTATGCTTTCCTCTAGTTCTTATGTTGATATCTCCTTAGTGATTTTGGTGGTTTGAAGGTTTATTATTTAGTAAGTTACTCAGGAAGGGCTCATGGGAACAATATCATCTGAGCTTTTTACATGTTAATAGCAGTTTGTGCCTTTTCTAGAGTCATCAGTTTTGCTGAATATAAAATCCTTGGCTCGTGTTTATTTTCCTTTAGTATCTTAAATATTTTACTCCATTTTTTCCTGGCATAAAGCATTGCTATAAAAATTATAATTTAATTTTATTTTCCTTATATGTAAATTGCTTGCTTTTTTTTGCCTAGATGGCCACTTGGGTTGGCTGTTCTGAGTTGATGTTCTTGAGTATATGCTATGCTCTTTCAATTTGAAACTTCAAGTCTTTTTTTCTTGGGGTGGGGTAGACATGTTTTCTTGAATGATTACCTTTGGTTTTGTTCCTTTGTTCTGGTTTTCTTTTTCAGGACGTCCATTTACCCATCTATTGGATCTTCTTTGCCCACCTTTGGTATTAAATCCTTTTTATCCCATTGTTTCTTTTCACTTTAAAATTTTTCCTCTTCTAATTGCATGTGTCTTTTAAAGCATTATCTGTTGTTCATTTTCATTTTTTAAGGGCTATTTTCATTGCATATAGAATTTTAGATTTGGAATTTATTTTCTTTCAGTAATATCAGTAAAGATATTTTTGTTCAGGGTGGCCCAGTGGGTTAAGCATCTGACTCTTGATTTTGGCTTAGATCATGATCTCAGTGTTGTGAGATCGAGCCCTGTGTTGGGCTCCATGCTGGGCATTGAGACTGCTTCCGATTCTCTCTCTCTCCCTCTCCTTCTGCCCTTCCCCCCTAAAAAAGGGGGGGAGAAAAAAGATATTTTTGTACAAAGTTTTCTGGTTTGCATTATTTCTATAGAGAAGTCAGCCTTAAGTCTTATAGCTACTCTCTTGAGAGTAACTTTTCTTTTTTCCTTTGGCTACCTTTAAGGTTCTTCTCTTTTTCATTTTAGAACTTTTATTGTAGTGTTTCTAGATGCAGATTACTTTTTCTGTGCCTCGATGTCTTTTGCTTTTTGGGAAAATATTGCTTCTGGCCAACACTCTCTCTGCTTTTTTTATTTTTATTTTATTTTTATTTTTTCTCTGCTCTCTTTTTAGGACTCTAGTCCTTAGATCTAGGCAGTGAATCTCCATTATGTTCTTGTCTATATTTTCAATCAGCTTATCTCCCTATGCATAATTCTGGGCATTTCCTTCTGACCCCTCTTCCAGTTGACCAATTCTGTCTTCAGCCATCACTCCCAAAAGTTGAGTTCCTAATTCCAGTTATTGCAATTTTGATTTGTTTTTTCTAGAAGTGATTGGCAGCTCAGACAGAGGCATGAATAAGGTAGAACGATTAATGTTTAAAGTTGCCACAGGGTGCACAGGAACAACACTGGGGAAGGTGACTTGCACATATTGGCAAGACGGTGGCAGAGAGAGAGAGAGAGCAGAGGGCTCCATATGGTGGATGTCTAGACAATGTGAGGAAAAGCAAGGGGCAGAGGCAAAGTGGAATAACACCAACAGAGCTAGAGAATTGGGGGTTGAGGTCAGAGACCAGAGTGTTTGAATTTAAATGTAATCATAACAGGGGAAGTTGCATTGGTCAAGGCAGTCTCTGCTGTGCTGCAGTAAACCGCAGCCCTCAGAGCCTTTACACATTGCAGTTGAATTCCTGATCACACGTACTCCAGTGCAGATGCCCCTGGGGAGATGGTTCCCATGGATGACTCTCCGTGGAGCAGTGGATTAGGCTTTTCTGTCTAGTGGCTCCTTGAAGAATACCCTCACCGGACTCTTCTCATCCAGCTTGCATCTCTCCATCACTCATTGTTGCTGGAATACACTGACTATGGAGGAAGCTAGGAAGCACGGAGGTTCATGTGAGCCCTTCTCAGCACCTCATCCTGGAAGTGACGCCTATCGCTTCTGCTCATTCCACAGCATGAGAGCCAGTCACACGGCCCCACCTAGATGCACACGGGGCCAGGATATGCCCTTCCTGTTTAGAAAGCTTCTTCCCAGCACCAGCCCTACGTGATGGTTAGCAGAACTCATTGCTTTCAGGGCAGGAGGAGAACCCATCAAGTTCTCAGAATGAGGCAGCAACAGGTGGGGATGGGGTACATGACACCTGGATGACAGGGGCCTCAAACAAAGGACACTGTGATTAGGGTGAGGAGATACTGATCTGGAAATGACACTGTGGGTCAAGGAGCACTTTAATTCCAGAGCTCATCAAGAGTACCCCTGATTTGAGAGACAAACATGGAAAATTATATTCTCAGAGAAATGTTTGCTGAAGAAGTGTCTAGAGTCATTTAGCCCTAAGGTATATTAGAAAAGTTCGAGACAGTGGAGAGTAATGGGAATCTGGGCCCAAGTGCAAGAAGGACAGAATAAGGATGAGATTGTGAGGAGTAGGCTGGAAGGACTTACACTTCGGGGGCTGGACAAGTGTAGTAGGAATGTGGTGGGATGGATTTGTTTGGCCACATAATTGAAAGACAGTTCTTGCAACATCCTGAGCAGGTAGCAGGTGGAATTCGTTGTCTCTTGGCTGCTATCTGGGTGGGTTCTCCTTCTGAGAGAATTAAGGTCTCTGATAGATGAGAAAGCTCCTTTGGAAGGAGTTATCCCTCTGACTTTGTTTGAGCATGAGATTTCTGAGGAAAAGTAGGAATCAATGCTGTTTGTGGAGAGGCTCTGCAAAGTAGAAAGGGTTGTCAGCAAGGAGGCTGAGATCGACCAGTCAGAGGACAGAGGGAAACCAGGAGAGTGGGGGGACAGTGAAGCCAAGGTCAGTGGGTCAAATGACGCAAGGAAGTCCAGTGAGATGAAGCCTAGGGAGTGAGCCCTTAATGTAGCACCAGCATGACGAATGTGTGAGAGCCAAAGGCAGATCCATAAATAATCAAACACAGAGTACACTGTGGCGAAAAAAGAAAATATTCACCTATAATTGCATCACCCTACTCTAAACATTATTTTATTTTTCTGATGACCAAGGCTTCACTTGTCATCAATGAATTTCAGTAGTCACAAAATGTAATACACAGGTCATGTTTTTTTTTTCTACCCACATGCAACTGGTTCTATTTTCCTTAGATAATTTATATATAGATTTAAAATTGAGCCGCAGGTGTCACTGCATGCTAAGTTGTGTTTCATTTCAAAGACGCCGTACCTTCTTCATGGTATTATTAAAGCTGTAGTCCTTCCTGCCGTGTATTTCCCACACAATGAAATTTACTTCCACGTCTTCCACGTAGCCATTGTCATTGTATCTGAGCGAGACAAGCCAACACAACAATAATCGGTTAGAGCAGAAGAGAGGTTGAGAGTTGCAGCCCCCCCGTCTGACGGGCTTCTCTGAACACTTGTGAAGTGGCTTAACGTTCTCCGAGCCTTGATATTGTCACTTCTCTGTGAAATCACAACAGTACCTATTGTATAGGTTTCATTCAGCTCTCGAAATCAACCTCCTAGTAATGAAGCAGGAAATGTTCACCCTTTTCACAGCTGGAAGTGTAAATGCTGTTCACTTTGACAGGAACCGTGTGTTGAGGAGGTGAGGGGAGTGGGGGCCCTGCCGAGTCGGCTGGGAGCAGGGAGAAAGAACTGAGGAAGGAGGAAGGGCATGGCGAGGGGCCCCTGGTGTCATCTGATCAACAAATATTCATTGGGTGACTGTTGCGTCTCACGGGCCCACTGTGCTGAGAACAGAGATGCTCCAGAGCTCCCGGGGGACCCGGCTGGAAGATGGAGCTGGGTGTCAGGGGGTTGGCAGCAGCAGGGAGAGCTGAGGTGGGGCCCAAGAAGCAGAAGCGGTCACCGGTTCCTGGGAGCCACAGTCCCATGCAGCCCACACCCAGACAACTCGTGGTGACTTTCACCCAAAGCAGCGCCCCTGCAGCAGGTCCTACAGGGACAGGGGGCCCCCTCCCCAGATGCCGGCACTGGAGACAGAAACCCCATTGAGCTTATTCACTCCAAACTCAGTGTGTTTCAAAGGAGATGCTGTTTCCGATTGTTGAGACCTTTTGTCCTTCTTGCTACCGTATGAAAATAGGGGTTTGAGACCAGAGCTAAAGTTCAGTTAGTGGTAAAGTTACATCTGTGCATTACCAGAGCTTACAACTGTTTTAAACACGGTCGTGTCCGCTTTCTCCATCCGTCATTGCCCGTTTTTCTGAATGGGACTGTCCCCACCCTGCTGTGGATGGAAATTTCACTTCGGACTTTGGTCTCAGGCACTTGCTCCTGGGCTCTGACTCTTGGACTGTTGTCCCAGGGTCTGGTACATTCTCTTGCTCCCCATCTCTGTGTCTATCCATAAGATCATGGGTCTTTGACTGTGGTGTTTCCTGACTCATGGCCCACATTTCTGCCTGACATCGCAGTCACTCCCCCTCGCTCTCCGTATCTGCTACAACTTGGCGCCATCCATTTCTGCTTGTAAAAACCAGCTCTTGTCCCATTCACAAATTGGGCAGGAAATCTGTACACATCAGAAAGTGGTACCTGAGAAGCTATTTTATTTCCATCTGAATTCATTTTAGGAACCTAAAGACATGAACTCAGGCGTGAGTAACTAGGGGCTAGAGACTTCTTTCTTGGCACAGGAGGGTCATAGAGAACTCTAAACTCTAAAGTTCCTGCCACAAGAAAATGCACACACGTGTGTGACACACTCAATTTTGTGTGCAGTTTTGGAGATTTGGGCCAGGCTCTAGCAAAGCTTTCATTCTAGGAGCTTTGGAAGGTGCAGCATTTTTGACTGCATCTTCCAAAAGCCATCAGATTCTTGAATTATTAAGAACTAGTCGTAAAGCCATATGTTTTATTTAAATTTTTAAAAAGATCTTCATTGAACTGGGAGTGGACGTTGTTGACACTCACAAGAGCAATAAAGCTATAGTGTCATCTAGTGGCAATAAGGATAAATTACATGACCCATACTTCCTGGGTTTATAATCTTTGATAATGCTTTATTATCTCATGGAGAATATGGGACAAAAATACTTGCCCGTGTAAGCATGGCTTATTTTCATTAATGTTCATTAATAGGATATGATACCAGTGAGACCTGAGATAATTTGTAACTTCTCCATTGTGACAATTCCACTATTGATCCATCGGACACATGTTTTCAGTCCCCTGGGACCACCCCACCCAGTGTATTAACCATGTCTCTTACTTTCTGTTTTGTGATGCTTTAATAGCTGGGTTAATTACCCCAGGAGAATTGGAAGCAACATGCCTTATCAAATGACACCTGGTGGCAGAGACACACATAAGTCACCCCAAGAAAGACGAGTGCTGCCACATGGCCCAGAGTGCTGTTCCGGCTCTCTGACCCCGCCTCCTCCACTCGCACAGCCTCTCATCCGCCCCTTGGCCTCATCACACATCCAGGCCTGCCTTTCCTCCTAGGGGCAGTTCCCTCCCTGCCCTGCATCCTGGATTCACTCAGTTGCTCCCGCCCTGCCTCCAACATCTCGCCCCAGCCTTGGATGTCACACTATGCCTTCTGCATTCATGCACAGGCTACTTGAGAAATTCAAATATGCGGCACTGGGCCCGCTCACAGTGTCTTAAGTCAATTGTGCCTCTGGTGTTGCCTGATAATCTTTCTACAGGTCCTTGGTCAGCCTTTCTCATATTACTCTCAGTGACCCTGACACCCTCCTCAAAGCCTCTCCTCAACCCCTCAGTGCTCCCAGTGTACACGTGGCCCTTTGTTTCTTGTAAGTAAACTGAGGCTGTCAGACATAACTTCTCTCAGCTCCTGCCCTCCTTTGTTTCCAAACCAGTCACTTCCCACATTTAGTTTTACTCCCCACCTCCCTCCAAGTCTCAGAGGATGAATTCTCCTTCTTCTTTTAACATTGCCACCTGGGTCTTTGATCCTACTGCCCTAGTTTTCTTCGTGGACCTGGCTCCTATAGCTTATTTTATTTTAATTAGGAAATATTTAAAATATGCAGAAAAACACAGAGAATAATGTGAAAACTGTTACATATTATTTCCATCCAGGTTTTATACTTTACTTATCCATAAACATATCCATAAATCACATATAGTATTGCTTTATGAGTTTGCAAATATACATACAGGATATTACACTGCAAGTATCTTTTGGCAACTTTTTTCCCCACTCAATATTAGGTTTTGAGATGGATCCATAGAAGTTTCCAGTCTCTTGGTCTCTGTTTTCCTCAGCAGCAGCTCCCTCCTGACTACTCCTCCCCTATTCAACCTGAACTTGGTGGCTGAACCCCGGATTCCCTCTTACAAGCATCTTTTCATTCATTTTAAGGGCTGTGCAACATTGCATTGGCTACAATGTATACATCCAAATGTTTGCTATGTTTCATTATGTCTATTTCACCACCATTAAAAGAATCTATATTTAAAGAAGCCATAAACAAACATGTCAGCCACCTGTCTTTTTCACCTGGTTTATGGTAAGATATCATGAGGTAGCAGGAAAAGTAGGAGTGTGTGATATCCTGGAAGCCAAATCAAGAAAATATTTCAAGTGGGAGAGAATGATCAGCTGTGTAATTCTGGTTAACGAGATCAACTAGGGTGAGTCCTGAGGACTGAGCACTGGGCGTAGCAATCAGAGGCCGCGGGTCATACCGGGCGGCGTGCTAGGCGGGTGGTGGCCAAAGCGGGCTGGGAGGGATGGGGGAGAGTAGGAGGAGAGCTGGCGACATGAGGATAGTAGCTACAGGGGCAGTGGGGGTCACGAGAGCATTTTTCCTGTTTTTGTCTTTGGTGAGGGAAAGAACTGCTGATTTCTCTGATGATCCAGTAGAGAGGGAAAAATTGATGATGCAGGAGAAGGTGGGGCGAGTTTCAGGAGCAGTTTCTTAAGTAGGAAAGCAGGTGGGGATCCAGTTCACAGATGGAGAGAGAGGCCTTAGATACACATATGTTCACCTATGATGATAGGAAGACAGACAGAATTCGTGGGTACAGATAAGGGGGTGGAGGTTTGTGGAAGATCTCTTCTGATTGACATCACTTGGACTCGTTCATCTTCCTCATTCTCTCTTCTCATCTATCAGTTATCCAATTATTTATCAGTTATCAAGCCCCTACCTATTATAATCACTAATTTTTCTCATAAATGATTCCTCTTCTATGTCCATGCTGCCATTTCAATCATTTGTGTTTTTCCTCCACGGACTACCAATACAGTTTACTACCTGTCTCGCTATTTAGACTTGTTTCCCTGAAGTTCATCTTCTCCCTTCTCCCAGAGAGGACTAGTAAGGCAAATATTTGATCATGCCGCTCTACCATAGTATGGACAGGAAGTCTCCCACGATATGGACTCCACCGAGCTCTGAGCTAGTTTCTCTTGTCCTGACACTTCGTGCCTCACTTTATGCCCCAACAGCATTACACTGAGCTGTACCTCTTCTTCCTCAAACCATCCCTTTTGCTTGAAAGCCTCACCCAGTGGTGCTCATTGTCACCTTCCCCACTTCTCTTCTTCCCTCTCTGCCTTCAACTAAATATTTATTATCCTTTAAGACTCAGTGACTCAGATCAAAGCCCCTCTCCCTTCTGTAGCTGGGTTGGATTCTTTTGAGTTTCCTTTTTATTATTCCATATCAATATGCTAATATGGTGATCTAATTCATCAGACTCTTGAGCCCCTGAGAGAGGAAATCCTGTCTTATTTATCTTTGAATTCCCAGGACCTAGCACAGTAAAAGGTTCAGAAGTGTTTAATAATAATGAATTGAAGAGAAAAATACACTTCTCTGGGAGAGAACATTAACATTATTTATCCTTGGAGGATTAAGACACTTAAAAACATAAAACATAAAACAAAGACAAAGCAAACAAGGAGCCTGGGAAGATGGTGGAGTAGGAGGACCCTGAGCTCACCCCGTCCCATGTTTTCAACTTGACTGTCCCAAGTCAATAAATCAGAGAGCAATCTAAAGACCAGAGGAACAAACTCCACAACTAAATATAGAGAAGAGAGGTAGGAAACACCAAAGCAATAAAAATGAATATTTCTGTAAAAATCAGTCAAGGAACTCACAAAAAAGGATATAAAATGTAATAACATATGCCTAAAACATGGGGAGAAAAGGAGAAAAGAATGGGTTTGGACTTAAATGACCATGAAATTGATATAGACTGCTACATGCAGAAGAGGTTATATACAAACCTAATGGTAACCATATATTAAAAACCACTAATAAACATGCAAGCAATAAAGAGAAAGAAATCCAAATATATCACTAAAGAAAATCAG